CTTTACAAATCTCACTTCCACATAAACATTTTTTCATTCCCTTTTCACCCTCAATACCATCTATCATCGCCCCGCTTTCCAACTGTCCGTTGTGACCATCGGCTCCAGAATAATCAAATGTCAACTCTTCTCCTATTTCGATATCCCTTACTGCAAAAAATGCTGCAACAGGAATTAAAGAGTTGATACGAACCAAATAAATCTGAAGGTTTGGTGCACACGAATGATTGATGTATCTTCCAGCATTTCCAATATGAATTGGATCGATGTTCTATAAAATAATAAACTTAGCAGGAGACATGATGTACTCGGATAATATAAACACTTACCGTTCGAAGAATGCGATCCTGTCTGTTAAAATGAATAAAAAGACATTCAATATAGTTTATAACAAAAAAAAAAACAAATACTGCATATTTATTTAAGCCAACTCACACATGTTCTTTCAAGCACAACACGTAATTTCGAGCCATCGTATTATTCTTCATTTCTTCCCACCTTCGTTTAGCCTCTTCGGTCTTAATTATTTCACCCGCATACTCACAAACAAACATCCCTTTATATATCTTTTGTAATGTACGTAATCCCCAACCACGTCCATCCCTAGTTTTGAAAACCTGCAATGGAATATTGATTCCATGTTGAACTATACGATTTGGACATACCTTTGGAGTGCATGTACATGATGAATTACATTCGAAGATCGATGTGGGTACGGGGGAATTTAAGTTGAGACCTCGTTGATTTGAATGTTGTGATGTATAAAAGTATCCTATTGATAACATTTTAGGAATTGGTGTTAATACGTTAAAGAAAAGACAGTATGATTGAAATAATATTATTGAATAAACTATAACCATGAGTTGATTTACATCCACAATCTTCCAATATACAATTATCTGCACAATCACAACCATCATAATATGACGATAACTCTTCACTTGTCACAATTTCGTTTCCAAGTGAAGGTATTACGCAACGTACAACGTACTACGATAAATATTGATTCAGTGTTAGTTATTAAATATTAATTTTTTATATTCTTTGAAATACCTTTTGATGTACATGTAATTCTTCAAGTTCTTTATCATCATTATATACCAAGCTAACGGGGGATGGTTCAAGACCATTTGATATGTCCTCAATGATGAATTCGTTATTTAATGTCGATTTCATAGACATGTTCGTTTTTTTGTTTTTTAGCTGCCGTACAGACATTCCAATTTTATTAGCCGAAATTTTAGGGTGCGTCTGGATAGTACCCCGGTGTTACTATCGGATTTCGGGAGAGCGTCAGTAATTGGGCCGGATTTAGATCTGCGATAGTGAACGACGGATATATTAATTAGGAAATAGGGTTTCTTTATATAGGGATGGGACGGATATAGACTAATTAAGGGTGATTATATGGGGTGTTATCTATTAAAACAGCCCTTTTTTACATAAATTTTATTTTGAGATAATTGAGTTTAATCAT